TCAATAGCCCTTATCGCATTTACGCCCACTGTACGAGAGCTCAGCGGACTTTGAAGTTTCGAAACGAGGCTATCGGGTCACACAGGTAAAACTTTCAAGTAAAATCGAAGCAAACGGCTACGTTTGGAGGCATTTTTATTCATTTTCTTAAGGATACAGCGTGTTCTCGTCATGGTTAGACATTGTATTGCGTACGGGTGCAACAGTCTATTCAGTGAATCGGCAACTGACGAGATCCACAAGATTAGGATCGAAACCGCGGTCTTGCCAAACACGTTCAACTATCAAACTAGAGGCGAACAAAACGCACATAAAAAACCTCTCAAATAAAGAACTTACAAACGACCAGATTAATTTACTGGCAAAAGGGCTTAAATTCATTCCAACACCCGCTATAAAACAAAAAAAGATCAGACAACAACTATTGGGTGACTTTAATGAGTTCGCAAGGAGAATGCGTCTGATTTACATATTCCGAGGGGAGGACAAAAAACCCCATCCCTGCCTCGTCAAATCTACATGGATACCACCAATGCAAAAATCAGTTGCCCTTGAAAGCTCTTTAGAAGAGGTTAAAAGTGACCTTTCAGAAATAGAAATTACAAAGCCAAAAGATAATTTGCTTCCGGCCGAACGCAAGGCGCTGAGAGTCTTGAAACGTGACTCTGAGTTAAACTTCAAAAAGGCCGACAAAGGAACAACAACCGTAGTCATGAACAAACGCGACAAAATTTTACCGTTCCTTTCCGAAATGACAGCCATTCGTTCAATCTTCCTTTCGTGATGCCAGGACAATTACCACTAAGAATTTCAACCTTTTCCTCTGCAGAAAAAAACGCATATTCCAGAGTTATATGGTCAGACATGGAGTGTTTCTGGTGTTTCTCGAGAAACGTTGACCCAATAGCCTCTTCCTGAAACTGTAACTCCGCGGAACCTTTGCATTGCAGACACGAATGCGATAAGGGCTATTCTTCTAATGCGTGGAAGAAAAATCTTGTGCAGCTGAGAGACCGTTAAAGCGCGGTCAACCTGGACCCTAGTCAAATCTCTCTCAACGGGTCCTCCCCATAGTCCTCTAACACCAACCCTTCACACATACTAAGGTACCCGGTATTTCTGTATAACAAGAAAACAGTGAAGTTAAGATGGAAAGTATCGACGATCTAGTCAAGTAAATGAGTTTACCCGGGGTACCTTGGTATGTGTGAAGGGTTGGTGTTAGAAGACTATACGAAGGAGCTAGCGCGTTATGACCCCAAAAGTAGAAAAAAAGGCAAAAGCGTTAACATATCAACCAAGGTGGACCAAAGATCGGACGGAACAAATAAATTTCTGGCCGTTTCGCGATCTACCTTCTTTGTGAAGCCACTAGTCCGATCTGTTTATCGAAAACGTCCGCAATCTGTGCACTTTTAAAGGCCAAATCCGTCGATGCCCGAACCTATTCACCCCCTATCCTCTTGGACAGTAGTTTAAAGCAGACTATTAAGCAGTTAAAATTTAGTAGTCTTTTAGAAAGTCTTTCTTTCAGCAGTTTAACACCAACATAGCGCTAGCTCGCCGAAAACGCTTCAAAATGGCCTGAGACGCTGGTAATCAACAAAGAAAACAACAAGGCAATTAGGTAAGTCCATTTTATTTCAAAACAAGACATTTTTTCTCTCAAACCGATAACATCCCATACAAACCATTATAAATATAAAACATTGCGCAACACTGTAAGAGTCACGTCCGCTTTTCTAGTAGTGAGCTTGGGCTGCCTGTGTTTGACATTCTCTACTTTCGCATGACCTATAATGCTTTACGCAGGGGTAACCTGAACTTCAGTGGGCGCCATCTTGGATTCTCGTCGGACGAACTGGTTGTTGACATGTTCTAGAATGGGTAAAAGTGACTTTTGTTGTGCCCATGGTTGCTCGAATAACCGTAAACGAAATCCAGAATTAAAGTTCTACAGAATTCCAAAAGAAGAAAGGCGGAGAAGAGCTTGGTTGCAACGTATAAGACGCGAGAATTTCACTCCAACAGACAACACTCGTCTTTGCTCAGTGCACTTTGTTGGAGGTGCAAAGTCTGACGATCCAAGTGACGAGGCATTCGTGCCATCAATATTTATCCACAGCGCTAGTTCGATTAAGACATCTAGGTCGAGCAAGAACAGTTTAAAAACGGACACGACACAGTATGTTAAAATTCCAAAGCCAAAGTGAAGGAGACTTGAACTACATGTAAGTGAAGTTACAACTAGATCCTTGATTTGACACAAGCTTATTTGTTGTCTATAACTCAAGTGTAAGCATGACTAAAATGCAAAATAGCTAATACTTTGTATTCTTGTTGTTATGATTTTAGGTAACTGAAGCAAGAGGGAGACCACAACAAGACCAGTTTGCTATTGAAGACCACAACATCTGGGGAAGCTGCTTACCTTCAAGCCACAACTTGAAGGAACACGACTACTGCAAGCTTCGAGTTGATCCTGAGTCTCTCAAAGTGGATCAGTTAGTCGTAGATGAAATGGTTTTGCTGAACAGGAAAATTGCTGATCTAAAAAAGGAAAATAACTATCTTCGCAGCAAATGTCTTATCCTTGAGAATATCAAGCTGGATGATAAGAGGTTTCAGTTTTGGACTGGCTTTCCAAATTATGCCACCTTCAAAGCCCTCTTTGATTACTTAGATTGTGTGGCCCTTCAGAAAAAGAAAAATTGGAGAGGATCTGAGATGAAATCCAAAATTCTGACATCAGAAAAAAATGCCCAAGATCCAAACTTACTTTAGAAGAGGAGCTTTTCATGGTGCTGGTGCGCCTACGTGTGGGTCTTACATTAACAGACCTGGCCCTTAGATTTAGCTTAAGTGAATCAAGTGTGAGTGAAATATTCACCACTTGGGTAAATTTACTACATTTTTCTTTGAAGGACCTGTGCCAGATACCCAGTTACTGTGAAGATCATTGCAAGGCAAAGCAGTTCTCAAAATTCCCTCATTTGAATGTTATTATTGACTGTACAGAAATTTTTGCACAAAAGCCATCTTCGCTACAGGCTAACAAGGAAATGTATTCAAATTATAAGAGCCACAGCACTTTTAAGTTTTTAGTAGCCATTAATACTTGCGTTGCTATTATTTATGTTTCCAGGGCTTGGAGTGGGAGAACATCTGACAAGCACATTACAGAAAATAGTGTTGACTTTTTAGCAACATTGGAGCAGGGAGATAAGGTTATGGCTGATAGGGGGTTTGATATTAATGACCGGAAGTGATTTTGATTGGATGATTTGAATTATGCTGTGTGGGGGTGGAAGGCTCTATTAAAAGTATCTGTGTCAGGCGTTTCTTCCTTTCGCTCTCTCCCTTTCTCGCTTCTCTCTTACCCCTTTCCCCCAGAAACGCCTGATACTCAGGCTACCACGAACTTAACGTTCCCTGCAACCTTGGCCATATTGTGAAAGACTTTGCTACAAAGCGAAGATTAGATTTTGGCGCGCACATAAAGCTACGTAAGCGTAAGCGCAAGTTGCTCGGCATACCTGCGCGGCCCGTGCGACGAAATAACTTCAGGGGATTAGTCAAGTTTCAGTAACAGCAAATTATACAAAATGTCTAGAAAGATTTCATCATTTCAGCTTACATCTCGTTTAACATTTAAAGCGACATATTAACGCCTGCAACCATTAAGTTTTATACGAACCTCGCAAACTTTTCAACACGTTCTCTTGTGATACCCGCGAAAGTATTCAGATAATTTCCCGTAAGATGTTTGCGGACAATCTGATCGATTTCTCTTACATTGTGTGCTGAGACTGAAACTTTTCACCTCGAGCAGAGCTCCGTCGCACGGCCCAAACAAACATGGTGAGCGACTCAGCTTCTTTTCTATCTCTGTGTTAAAACACACGAAAGCACACTTCATTCTGAATGGGCAGAAAAACACAAAGATTTTCTGGCACCAATCAGATTCTGTAATGTTCTGGAGTTCGCTTACCGTTCGCCTAGTTTGTTCGTTATCCAAAAATATTTCATCCGCCGTTCTCACTTGCAGCGCCTAATAAATACTACGTGTCCTGGGGCCTTGGGCGTGGACTTGGAGGCCTGGACACTACAGATGC